ACAATAGACGGTGCAATAATTGGTTCTGTCAAATCAGAGCAAATACAAAGAAAATCTTATTTTGAAGCAATTGATGCAGCAATTGATGGTATTCAAAACAATTGATGGTATTCAGAACAATTGATGGTATTCAGAACAATTGATGGTATTCAGAACAATTGATGCTATTCAGAACAATTGATGGTATTCAGAACAATTGATGCTATTCAGAACAATTGATGGTATTCAGAACAATTGATGCTATTCAGAACAATTGATGGTATTCAGAACAATTGATGGTATTCAGAACAATTGATGGTATTCAGAACAATTGATGGTATTCAGAACAATTGATGGTATTCAGAACAATTGATGGTATTCAGAACAATTGATGGTATTCAGAACAATTGATGGTATTCAGAACAATTGATGGTATTCAAAACAGTTGATGCTATTCAAAACAATTGATGCTATTCAGAACAGTTGATGGTATTCAGAACAGTTGATGGTATTCAGAACAATTGATGCTATTCAGAACAATTGATGCTATTCAGAACAATTGATGGTATTCAGAACAATTGATGCTATTCAGAACAATTGATGGTATTCAGAACAATTGATGCTATTCAGAACAATTGATGGTATTCAGAACAATTGATGGTATTCAGAACAATTGATGGTATTCAGAACAATTGATGGTATTCAGAACAATTGATGGTATTCAGAACAATTGATGGTATTCAGAACAATTGATGGTATTCAGAACAATTGATGGTATTCAGAACAATTGATGGTATTCAGAACAATTGATGGTATTGAGAACAGTTTGTAATTGTTATTATGAAGCAATTGATTCAGAACAGTTTGAATGAGAGATTTGAGCAGAATGGATTAACAGCTGTAAAAAATATAGAAGAAGTTTTGATTTCATCGTTGAATAAACAAGATTCCCCATCGTTTTTATTTGGAATACCATTTTTTAAAGATATTTTTTAAATATTTTTAATACCATTTTTTGACACCCTGAAACTAAAAGTTAAGTTGAAGGGGCCACAAACAATTATTAACCTGTACAATGCTATTGCATCAAAACAAAACATCTAAAAACATTGGAATTATGCATAAAACCAGATATATTTTAAATAATGCATACCTTGAAAGATTTTATTTTGCATAAATACATAGTTATATTAACTACTGCAATATTGCCTGGGCTAGTACCAACCAATCAAAACTAGATTTAATATGTAAAAAACAAAAACGAACGTGCCGTATACTAACAAACGCAAATAGAAATGCCAATTCTAAACATTTAATGAGGGAACTGAGAGTTCTTAATATCTACGAACAAAATATATATTGCATTCTTCAGTTCATGTTTAAACTCAAAAATGTTCTGGTCCCTGAAGTCTTCCGTAACTATTTTCGCCTTATTAATCACAAATATCAAACAAAAAACTCTATCAAGAACTGCTATACTCCGAAAACCTCTTTAAGACAATCTAAAATCTCAATATCCAGCAGAGGACCCCAATGGTGGAACTCATTTCTAACAAACAAAATAAAAACGATAAACTCATTCCAACATTTTAAATGCGTTGTAAAGCAACAACTACAAAACCTCAACATTAATGAAACTATCTCTTATTTTTAAAATTTTTTCTAAATTTTAAAACTTTTTCAATTTAAATCTTCGCTTTTTCTTGAAATTCTATTATATTACTTGCTTGGTTATTTAACGATGTTCATTGTAAAAAAAGAAAAAAAAAAAAAAAAAACCATAAGTTTTATAAATATTTTATTATATTTGTATTTGGTTTATATTTTGTTATATTTTGTCAACGACAAAAATGGGGCAAGCTGATAAGACTATTGTCTTCTACTTCCTCCAGTAATATATTTCACCGTAAAATGTTGTACAAATTTATATTAATAACGACGAATATAGGGTATAATATATAGACAAAATATATAAACAAAACCTATATAAACAAAAACAAACAAAAAAATCAATCAAAATCTAGTGTTTCCAGAGTGGAAACAACTGCAGATATTTTCAATACCATGCCGGCTGCATGCAAATTATTGAAGGTTTACCACACCATGCCTCTAACAACATCATCATGTGAAAGAAGCTTTAGTATAATGAGAAGAGTAAAAACATGGATTAGGTCACAAACTGGAGGCAATCACCTGAACAACAACATGTTTGCTCAGATACACAAACAACAAGTCGACAAAATTAACATTAAAAATTTCCAAACAGTTTGAAATAAATGACAGTAGAATGAATTATTTCGGCAAATACACTTGAAATTGTTCTAGAACCTTATAAAGCTAAGAATGGCATAGGATGAAATGCACTATTGACATCTTGAAAGTAGCTAAACAGTTGATTTATTTAGTAGAATGTTTAATAGCATGTTTTAAATAATAGAATGTTTAATAGCATGTTATAGGGGGAAAAAGCCCCTGCTGCCTACCCAGTTTGCTTTGGGCCTGTAATAGAATGAAAAATAGAATGAAAATAAATAAATAAAAAATCATTTGTTAATCAAGTTATAATAATTTTAATCGTTTTAAAAACAACCTTTTTACTGAAATGACTAGTATATATTTATTTTTTTGTGTAAATATTTAATACTGGCTGATCTGACCCGTAAAAACGGGTCTTTGTAAGTCTATTTCACACTGAACTTTTCTATACTTTTTCCTTTTATATATATCCTAGCTTTACGGATCCATACATTAGTCTTTACCAAATCTACCATTTTTTATACTTATCTATTCCACACCGATCATTCCTATACCTATTATTTGTTAACTTCAATATTTTTACGTAAAATAATTCATTTAAAAAAATTGCTTTAAGAGCAAAAAAGTTATGGGCACATTAAACATGCGCACGCTTTCAGCATACCTAGAGCTTAAAAGAGATTTATGGCTAGGTTTGTTTTTCTACTAAACGCATATCATTAATAGCTCAGTGGTTTAGTGCTGTCACCAGTGTTGTTTTGGGGGATTTAAGACATCCTCTTATAAATTTTGAAATTTTTTCATTCTTTCTATATTTATAGCAATATTTATTGCAAAAAATTTATAACAGTATTGCAGTTTATTATTATTTTATAATAACAATATTATTTTATAATAGCAATATTATTTTATAATAGTATACCAGAACTAAGAAGATCTTAGACCATTATAAATTTATTTTTAAAAAAGTTGAAGAGATCTTTAGTTCTTTAAGATGGGGATTTTCATTAAACTTAATCAGCTATATAGATTTTTTACGTAACATACGACTCGGCGTGGAAAAACTTTGATAATTTTTGTTTTCTTCAATTGTGAAATTTAGCATTGCGTAATTTATGACGATCCCTTATTTTAAAGTTTAGATAAAGGATCAGCCAAAAGGTATATAAATCTAAAAAATAGAGCATAGTACTATTTTAATGGCACTTGGTTTTGAATGTTTAACGGGGGCGTGGTAAAATAGATGTATAACTCTAAATTTCATTATTGTATCAATATTAAATAACTTTAACTTTATTAAAATTTTTAAAAGTAATTAGTTTAATAAAATGGTTTAATTTAAATATAAAACTAGAGTTTTTAATGACGTTTTTATAAAAAATATACTTTTTAAACGAGATAACTCAGATGGTTAGAGCGTCAAAGGAAAAGTTGAAACCCGGACTGTTGAACGATACGAGTTCAAATCCCGCCACCGCCAACTCAGCGCTTGAGTAGTACTTCGGTACGCAAAAATGTTGGTCAATAACGGACGCTACTTTGGATTAGTCTTAATGACTATTTGTGGCTGTTCCTATGCTAAGCCAACAATATCTTCGGATATAAGAACATTGTATAGAAAAATATAGCATGAAAACTCAAATAAATAAATAAAATAAAAAAAACTCAAATAAATAAAAAAAAAAATTAAACCCCCGTACTATTTTGAAAAAGTTAAGGTCAACGCGTGGCAAATTCAAATCATCAGCTTGTTTTATTTTTTAATTTTTGTTATTTAAAGTGCAAAACAAAACAACTTTACAGTTCTATAGATTTTACATTCTATATATAAAGATGTTGTATACTAATTTTTCTTGCACAAACTCAACTTAGTTGTGAAAAAACATGAAATGTGAAACTAAAATATCATGAGTATCTTAACCATGACACATACGCAACAAATATCTCCCCGAAGCTCAAAGGCCATACTGACACATTGGTCGTTGAAATTTTAAAACTATATAAAATTTGTTTTTAACGGAAATAAATGCTGCAGATCAAAAATTAAGAAGAGGTTTACGCAATGCAGTTTTGAAGAGAAAGTCAAACTGTAAAGCTTGATATATGTTTAAGTATGTTTTAAATTACATAACATGAAGTTTACGTATGTACAATAAAAGTTTCACGTTTGCTCACATTTTCTTGTAAAGTAAAGGTGAGACTCTTTCTCGCCAATGCCTCGGTTGCAATGGCTGCCAAGGGTTTCGCGTCAAATACGCTCCATGAGACACTAATAAAACTAAAGTTCAGCAATAGTATATAGTGATGTGATATAATTTCACTATATTTTTTCTATATATTTAATATATTATTTTACAATATTTTGTATATATTTAATATATTAATTCACTAAATTTTATATATATATATATATATATATATATATATATATATATATATATATATATATATATATATATATATATATATATATATATATATACTATATATATATATATATATATATATATATATATATATATATATATATATATATATATATATATATATATATATATATATATATATATATATATATATATATATATATATATATATATATATATATATATATATATATATATATCGTCGCGTTGGTTTGACAAGGTTCTAATTGAAATTTTTTATATTAGGAGAATTTACAAAAAATATTTTAGAAAAAAAGCATTATATTACAATATATTGTATATGTTTAAATAATTAATATACTATTTCATAATGTTTAGCTGAGTCTCAGTTCATAGGAAAACGCTATGCATTTAATAATGACTTGGCTACTGTTTTGATATTTGATTTAAATGGAATACTGGCAGGAATTCAAATGGGTGTAAGTTTACTTTTAATAAACTTTAAAGGGTGAAACCTTTAAAATTTAAATTTAAAGGTTATGGTATGAAACCTTGACGCAGAATTTTATTCTACGTCATAATAATTTTTTTAAATTAGTATGAATATAATTTAACATACAATGTATAAGATATAAAATTTATATAAAAATAATATAAAATTAGATTTCGGAACACATTAAAGAAGCAAAATGGTTTGGAAAAATACATATAAAAGATGTAGATACTAATTATGTCACTGCGTATTTTACTGAACCGAGTGATATTTGCAACAATATCAAAATTAGAAATAAAGATTATGTCGGAGATAAACTTGGAATTTTATCAGGAAAAGAGCTACTAGACATGCCGTTAAAGGAAGCGGCATTAAAAACTACAAAATGGACTAAAGGAAAATGCGTCTTCGGTAGGGGTAAGTTGAATTTTTTTAATTATATATAAGCAGACGGACGTTTGATTTAAAAAATAAAGTTAGAGCTTATTGTCACCTTAAAAACATTTAAAAACCATCTTATTTATTTCAATTTGAAGATGTTTTTAACTTTTCCATTTCATTTATAACTTTGTTTCAAGCGGGGTTTTTTTTTTTTTTTTTTTTTATCATATATATAAGTAACACTTCTTATTTCAGGTTTATAAAAATTTTACAGTTTTATGTAAAGGCGACTATTTTCCGCAAGACGAAATACTTGCGCGAGGCGAATTTTTTTGCCACGAAGAAACACCTTTTTTTTTTAAACTTATTTTCTTTCGCGCTAAATTTTTTTGTTTTGTTATCAACAATAAAAATGGCAGAAATATGATTACGCTGTATGTTCAACTAAAAGCAAGTATTACTTTTTTTACATACTTTCTACTTTGAAACATGTGGTAATTTCTTTCCATGCATTAGTTTTAACATTTCTGTCTTTGTATGTAAGTGGTGATATCATTTTGTAATATAATAATTTAACATGTTTTTTTTTTTTAAAGAAAGTATATCAAAATAAATGATAAACTCTGATATGAACATTTTTGTTAAAAAACTGTTGTTGCAGGAACAAACAGCAGGTTTAACTCCAAGTAGGGTTTTTCACAAAAAGGTTTATCTTCATGTGGCAAGTCGAAGATAAACCTTTTTGTGAAGTGTAACTTTCGGAATTGACAGTGTGCAAATTCTTGTAAATTCTTTTCATTTTCGAATTTAACATTTGTAAATTCTCGATTTAAGTCTTGCTTCTTATTTGATGAATTTACTAATGCTTGCCAATGCTCAGTTTGCTCAAATTTTGTTCCTTTGTTATTTTGAAAACAACGTGCTTTTGCTTTATTTACTATCGACATCACGAGTAGTAATATTTAAAACTTGATTGTTTTTTGCTTTTGGCGATTTGCTAAATATCGAAATGAATTGGACTTTTTTTTTGCTGCTGCGAAAAAAGCATAATTGCTAGAAACGTTTTATCTGCGCATCGACGAAAAAAGTTCGCTTCGCGCAAAGATTTTGTCTTATGGAAAATGGCTGGAAAACGGAAAAAGGCGCAGCAAAATTAGATTTTAAAGAAGTTTTTTCTTTAGATTAAAACTATGATCAAAATTTATTAAATAAAAATACCAAACAAGAAAATACAATACAAATCAAGAGTTTGTTTCTAGGTCAACATTACTGGTACAATGTGAAAAGCGATATGGACTGTAGTGATTTTTTCCCTATATTTCTTTTATACAACAATAAGCTTCTAACTGGTTTTGGATTTGTTGCATGTGGCATATTAAACAATACTAACGTTGAACATCATAATTCAGAAAAATTAAAGGTATTAACATTTTTTATGTAATAAGTTAATTAGGTAGTTAGTTATGGGTTTATTACACATCCTACCTTAAGGTAGGAAATGTGATATACCTTTAGTAAGGAAAAAGTTTGTCCCTAAAAGATATAATTTTCTACCTTAAAAGGTAGAAAATTATACCTTATCCTACCATAAGGTAGAAATTCCTACCTTTTTTTAGTTTGCACCTCTACGTTCAGCACTGCTGAATCAGCAGAGTTTAACTGCTTCTGAATGCTTAAATTTTTTCTACTGAACTGGTGCTTTTGTTAAAATGAATGTAAAGCATTAGTAAACTAAAACGCTAGAATATCTTTTTTCTTGCTATCTACACTTAAGCATAAACACTTTGGTAAACGTTTTTGTAATAGTAGTAAAACCTTATTGAAATTTGATTAAATGGTAAGACCAACTATAAAATTAAAATTTGGAAACGTTTGATATATATTTAACGCAGCTTCTTTGGCAGACGCAGCTTCTTTTCTGGTTGGGATAAAGTTTTTTTTTAATCCTTAAAACTAATCTTTTTCAGATAAACATTTCTGTTTATTTATTCTGTTCATGTTAAAAGAACATGTTCTGTTCTGTTCATGTTAAAAGGGTGCCTAAAATTGTTTTGCTCTACTAATTTGAAAGCCATAGATAAAAGAAAAATGTTGAGTTAATATTCCCTAATCATATTTTGAAAATTTCAGATGTTCTCTGATTCTATTCTGATTCTATTAAAGTCTATACAGTGGTAATTAAAAATAATGAAAGTTTTAGCAAAAATATTTATTTTCATCAATATTGAATAATAGTTTTACTGAATATTTGCCTCTAGACTACATTAATACTTTGTTTACATTGATAATTTTTGTAATATATTTCTCACAAACTTTTTTTTCTGAAAATATCTATTACAAATACTCTATTTTTGCCAATTGACAATGAACTTGATTTATAAAACTATGTTATGAAAAGCATACATTTATACGGCAGAAGATGTTTACTTTTCCCATTCTTTTATCCTATTTTTTCATATTCCAGAGCCGACGACACGGGTTTTGAACTGAAAAAAAAAAGAAGTAATTTCGAAGAAAAGCGGGTAAATGGGGGCCCCTTGATCTCTCTGGTGTTGTCTGCCCTGCATTCTGTAAATCATGAAGTTAAATGATTTCACTCAAATTAAATAAAGATAACATGTGTTAGTCTCTCCGAAAAGCCTCAGTAAAAACGCTAAAAAAGATTTTTTTAGCGTTTTTAGCAACAGCGTAGGTAAAACAAAAAAAGCGAAAAAGTGATAACCGGGCATTTGTTTGTAAAAGATCAAGGAATACTTTACTTGAATTACTTTGCTTGAAAATAAGTACCTAAAAGTAAATCTTGGTTACATAAAACAGTCGCTCATTATCTTTTTTACAATACAATTGAAATGATCCATGTAGTGAAGAACACATGATCCTACCAATAAGGTGTTCTATAGTCTGGAAACCTATAGTTTAGTTTTAGTAATAATCATTATAGAAATTTGTATAGATCAGAGTGTGACAACTGTTGTATATGTGAAATATTTCTTTTTTTTTTTTGTTATAGTATTTACTAGAACCAATAACTCATCCAAAATGCATAGACGAATGCGCTGATATACTATCTACTCAATACGTTTATCTGAACGAAAATCCAGGATTGAACAGTTTCTGTTAACTTGAGTTTACATTAGTGTAAATTAATAAATTTTTAATATCAATTTTGATGATATTATAAACAACATTTATATATATATATATATATATATATATATATATATATATATATATATATATATATATATATATATATATATATATATATATATATATATATATATATATATATATACGACGAATATAAGTTAAATGTATTGTATATATGAAAAGCTTTAACATAAAATGGTTTTTATTTTTTAATTCTTATTTGTTTTTTTATTGATATACAGTCAACCAAAAATAAATGTTTAAACCCAAAAAGTCCTTAAATATTGGCTTTCACGTAAATATCGGGTGGACGCTGAAAGATCTGATCAAATTGATATTGAGATTTCTCTAAAACCATAAATACTTTTTATTTCAAATTTTTTTAATATTAAATGTGTTATATCAATTAGGATTTCGATATAATTTTAATGGGCTTGATAGGTTGTTTGGCAAAAGATCGTTATTTTATAGCGGGTGGTTGCCATCATTTTGCAGATTTTTTCTTTTTCTCCTTTTTGCTGGCATTAATCCACTTTTTTTACAAGTCCTTTTTATTTTATGTTACTCCACCTGTCTTACAAAGAAGAAATTTTTTAATTATTGCCCCAAAATCTTTAATCTTGCGCTCTTCAGGACAATTTGGAGGATTTGCATCTTTAGGAACAATTTTCACATTATTATATTTGCACTAACGTAGAAATTTTTTAGAATAGCGAGAAGCGGCAAGATTTGACCAAATGAGACATCAGTATTTGTCTTTTTTCATGAATGGCAAAAGTCTTTTTTGGAAGCATTCTTTGATGTAGAGATCGGTAGTCAAAGTCTTCTTAGTGACAAAACAAGAGAGCTGCATATCACATCAACAAATTGCTTGCCACACAAGGAACTTGGATATAAACTTTTTTCGTCGAATATACTTAAATTGATCATAGACAGGTTTATTTTTGTTATCTTAATAAAATTGTTGACCAGAAAGTTATGAAATAAAATTGTTGACTAAAAAATTCTTTAAACTACTTATTTAATGTATTATGTATATCAGAAACTTGGAAAGACGCAAACTCACCCACAAAATTCATGTCCACAAAAATCTCTATACAATTTAGATTCATATATAATGATAAGTCAAGCACGTGTAATCAGCAAGGGTGGTGGCGTTGCAATATATATTCTTGATAAATTTGAATTAAAAAAAAACAACACATTCTCAAAAACAAATAAACATATTGAAACTTTATGCGTTAAAGTGTTAAATACTTCTGGTAAATCGTTTTTAATCTCCTTATTGTATCAACCACATGTAATAAACAAGTTAACTTTCTTAATATCTTAAGAAACTTTATGTTTCAAATGAATAAACAAAACAAGCACGTTTTCTTCGCGAGAGATACAAATATTGAATATATTATGCATTATGTTATGAAAAGTTTGCAACTATGCATTATGTTATGAAAAGTTTGCAAACATAAAAAACTTTTTTAATTAATTAATTGAATTTAATATAATACCCACCATATTTAAACCCACACGCATTACTAACCAATCATCTTCTGTGATTGACAATATTTTAAGAAACGTTTCCCTAAATTCTAAATTTGAATCAGGCCATTTTATTGCAGACTTTTCTGATCGTTTTCCATATAGCACGCGAAGTATTCTATAAATCTAATATTGACAATTAAAAATGCTTTATAACTTACAGAAATCTTTCTATAAAAAACCTGAATAATTTAAAAAACAAACTGCAAATAGAATGATGGAATAAAGTTTATTCATCAAAAGATCCTAATATTGCGATTGATAATTTCTCAAGGACATTTCAAAATATCTTTGATAATATATGCCCAAAAATAACTACAGAAATAAAAAATAAAGGATATAAGAATTCATGGATGACAATAACTTTAATTAAAGCATCAAAAAGAAAACAGAAACTTTACGTAAAATATTTGAAATCAAAAAATAGAGATGGTGAAAAAATCTACAAAAATTATAAATTTTTTTTTCAACATAGTATAAAAGAAGCAAAAATAAGATATTTTTCTAACCAGCATGATAAGCATAAATTCGACATAAAAAGGACTAGGGTTGTTTTAAACCAACTAACAGGAAGAGAAAAAAAGAAGCTTACTTGCTTACCACAAAAATTAATTTCCGACAAAAAAAATTATAGTAAGTGAAACAATTATATGTCAAGAATTTAACAAATATTTTATTAATGTAGACCCCTCTCTTGCTTTTAATATTGCGCAACGAAGTAAAACATTTAATAATTTTTTGGTAGAAAAAACCCAACACTAGTATAAACAATGAAAAGATAACTAAACTTGAATTTAATAAAGCAATTATTGAACTTAAACGCAACAAGTCATGTGGATATGATGGTATTTCCAGTAATGTAGCTATTTATGTTATGGACAACATTAGTAAACCAATAATTTTATTTAACATCATCTTCATCTGAAAATAGTTTATTCTCTGACAAACTTAAATTAGCCAAAATTAATCCAATTCTCAAAAAATGTGATTGCAATAATGAATGCAATAATGACCTATTTATCTACTTCCAGTATTTTCAAAAGTATTTAAGAGAGCAATTTATAATAGATTAAAAAGTACTTTACATTAAACAATTTATTATACAAAAATCAGTTTAGATTTCAAAGAAATTCCTCTACTGAACATGCTATTATTAAACTAGCAGACAAAATATTAAGACGTTTGATAGTGATGAACTGGTATTAGGAGTTTTTATTGATCGTTTTAAGGCCTTTGATAAGTTGATCACAGTATTTTACTTTCTAAACTAAAATATTACGGTATAATAGGCTCAACGTTTAAGTGGATTCAAAGCTATTTGTCTAACAGAAAGCAATTTGTATTACTAGAAAAATCAGGAGTCCTCGATATTACATGTTGAGTTCCTTAGGGTTCAATTTTAGGTCTATTATTGTTTTTAATATATATTAACGATAAGCATAAAGCTTCTCAAAAATATTTACAATTATGTATGCTGCAATACAAATTTATTTTTTAATCATCCTGATGCAAAGACTTTGTTTGAAACTATGAATATTGAACTCAAAAGTTTCAACCTCTGGTTCATAGTAAATAAATTATCCCTAAATTGTGAAAAAACTACCTTTACTCTCTTTTATAAAAAAAAAAAATCAATTAATCTTCCGTTAAAGCTGCCTAAACTTTTTATCAATAAAAATAAATTAAACTTGAAAAATACACAAAATATTTGGGAGTACATTTTAATAAAAATTTGTCATAGAGAAACTATATTCTTGAAACAAAAATGTCCTCTGTAATAGGTGTTTTGTATTAGTCGAGACCTTTTCTCGATAGTAAATCACGTAATATGCTTTACTTTAGTCAGCTTTTGTAAGCAAATATTGTTTGAGGCAGCACCCATAAAACCAAATTGTTAAAATTGCAAAGTCTGCAAAACCATGCATGCAAAGCATTACATTACAGATATTGAGAAACTTAATACATTACAGATATTGAGAAACTTAACACATTACATTGTTATGGACAATATTATTGTAAAATATTTTGAGAAACTTAACACATTACAGATATTGAGAAACTTAACACATTACAGATATTGAGAAACTTAACACATTACAGATATTGAGAAACTTAACACATTACAGATATTGAGAAACTTAATACATTACAGATATTGAGAAACTTAACACATTACATTGTTATGGACAATATTATTGTAAAATATTGTAAAGCTGATTATAAATATAGCCCCTTAACTATACGTAACAACTATGATAATTAGTTTTATTCTGTTATTTGCTAAGCATGTAGACGTTTATTGCCGTAGCAATCTTTGTTTAAGACTAAACATAATTTGTACCCCTATACCTGAAAGGGAAATTTAAAATATTATTTAAATTATGATTCTTTAGAGAGAATTTGATTGAAAATGCAAAAAAAAAAAAATCTTATGCAGCTTAACTTCTGAGTTTTACTAATAAACTACCATTGTTGTTTGATATTGCAGCATCAAATGCAGAAAATTTGATAAGAAAAGATACCTCGCATAGTAACAATGGTCAGATCTCAGATATAGACTTTCTTTCAGATCAGCGTCACTTAAAAAAGCAATTTTTGGGCCCATTAGCGTCACTTAAAAAAGCAATTTTTGGACTCGTTGGTTGAATCTATCCAACTGAGACTGGAATCTTTCAATGTCTATTAAATTGGTTTACAAGTTACTTGACTTAATTGAACATTTAAAGTGTTTTAAAACTTTTTCTTGATTTAACGACATTGTTGATTAATAGAGGGCAAAAAGAAATATTTTAGCTAAAGTTTCAAATTCATCATCAGCGGTATTTTTTTTTTGAAAAAGTATAAAAGTCGTTATACAAATAAATTAAATCGCTAAGAATAAAAAATCCTTTTAATTCTAGAAAATATAAATAAACAAAAAATATACAAGTATTTGATTTAATAAATAAAAAGAAAGTGGAAACTCGCATAAGGCCATTCAGTCATCATCAAGAACCACTCTTAAATTTAAAGATATCATAAAAATCAAATGCATACATACATAGTCTAGTGTATAAAGCACAAGAAAAATGTAAGTGCATTTATAAATATATGCATATATATTTAGTTGCGTCACTGCATAAAAAATAAAGAAGTTAATTATTCAATGTTTAAAAATATTAAAATATATCATCAACAGACAAAATGATTTCCTTAAACTTTATATGCTTTTTAATGATTAAAACTTATATAAAACAATACAATAATATCTAGTCTTCTAACCAATGTTCTAGTTTATATATATTTACGCCTTTATAATAAAACATTTTTAAATTACGATTTTATATAAATGGTGCTCGGTGATAGGCCGGTGATGTCTTCTTTTTGCTCTAGTTATTTATTTTATTGTATATGAAAGTTGTATTTATAGTAAAGCCGAAATAAACTATATATATATAAAAATGAAAATAAAGAACTAATGATTTCGAGGTCATAA